AGACGGCCCTCATTCTTTATTACTACATGCCTACGACAAGTTAACTTCCAGTATCGAGAATGGTAAGGGAGCCTATCTGTCGCTCCCCTGGAGCTCGCTGGGCAAGAATGAATCTGCCAAGGACGAGGCTATCACCGGACCATTGGCTACGTTGCGCTTAGAGACTATCCTCTGTAGCACGGAGTATTCCCAAGATCAGGTGATACTAAGTCTACTGAACTGGCGTGAGCGTCCGGTAGATGAAGTCTTGGATACGCTGAAGAGGGTTCTTTTCGTGCCAGAAATTGAAATTGTCAAGCAACTTAGCAGTGTCTTCGACGCTCTCTTTGGTATCCTGGTAGAAAACGCTGGAAATGAGGAATATGAGGACTTAATATTCAAGAACTTGGTCACGGTTCTCGGGATCGTTCATGACCGACGATTTAATCTTGGCCCATTAGTTGACCATTACGCTGAGAACCAGTTTAACTTCCCGTTTGCCACTCCATGCCTCATTCGAAGCTATCAACGTCTCCTGCAAGGTGGTTCCGATGGTCAGCAGTCTCGTAACCTTCGTGCCACTTTCAAGGTGGGACGGCACGTCCTTAAATTCATCATCAATGCTAGGCAGCAACAGAAGGTGAAGGAGGAGGGCATCGGGATCACCCGTGTTCAATCAACTTTCAACCGGGACCTGCACATGATGTTCAAGTCTCTTGAGGCTCTCATGAAGAACCCTTCTCCTGCCATGGTTGGAAGCAAGACGCTTGTTGTCCAGCACTTTCACACATGGCTGCCGGAGCTAACAAAAGTGCTTCCCAAGGACGAAATAATTATGATAGCCCTCAGCTTTATGGATTCGTGCAAGGATGTTAAGGGTATGCTAATCCTTTATAAGCTAGTGCTAATACAGCATTATACACGTCTCGAGATATTCAGTACTGGGCCGGAGAGGAAAAGTTTGGTCTCCAGTTGTATAGGTTGGCTGGCACCGTATTGGGGGGCTATCGGGCCTGTCTCTGATTTGTACCGTGATCAAGTTCGGTTGAACTGTGCAATAGTCGCAGAACTCGCGAAGGAGCCCGACCCATATGTGTACGACTTCATGCCCAAGATCGTCTCTTCATATTACACCATTATACCCGACGGCGTGGAAGATACCAGTTATCTCTCTCTGCTCTTCAGCAAATCCTTCCCGTTCCAGGTGAAACCCTCCAAGCAAACGCAAAAGTTTGATGAAGCTTTGGTGGAGCTGTCCGCAGTCATGGCTGCCACCGCAGCGATTCCTAACCCTAAACGTCCTCGGTTGAAGGGCTTAGAGCTTGCTACTTTTCTCTCCCAGGCTTTTGAGGTCCATACTTCAATTTTGAATTGCGAGGCATACCCTGAGAGCTGGCTCAGTGTTCATGTATACAACCACCGGGCGACAGTGAAGAGTCTTGAGTATCTCTCTTCGCTTTTGATCGCCAAATTCCTACCAACGCCAGAAGATGCAGAGCAGTTTGATACACGACTATGGGAAAGCTTTTTCATGACTTTACTAAAGGTCGTGTCGAGCGATGTCCTAGCCCTTGAGACCTTCCCCGAGCAGAAACGGCGTGCTATCTGGAAGATCGCTGGCGATGTCCGTGAGCAAGGCGCCGAGTTGTTGCATTCCAGTTGGGAGGCCATAGGCTGGGATACCACAGATGAAGAGAGGGAGCAGTATGGCCTGAAAAAGCTTGGAGGGTACCAGGTTCAGTATGTCCCTGGTCTCGTGGCCCCTATCATCGAGCTGTGCCTCAGTGTCCATGAAGGTTTGCGGCATGTGGCGGTTGAGATTTTGCGGACAATGATTCTCAGTGAATGGAGCCTTAACCAAGACCTGTCCATCATCGAAACGGAGATCATTTCTAGCCTGGATAATCTCTTCAAAACGAAGAATATGAACGAAGGCGTCGTCCAAAAGCTCTTCATTGCTGAGTTGACGGAGCATTTCGAGAGCTGTTCTTCTTTCGACGAAAGCCTCTCAAATGCGGTCAAAGCGCTTATCGCAACAGTAGATGAGCTTCTTGATCTATTCGTGGCCTCACAAAGTGGATCTATGGCTGAAAGTTTGCATTCCCTTAGGCTGATGGAGTACATGAAAGACATGGGCCGTGAAGATATCTTCACTCGCTATGTTCACGAGTTGGCTCAGCTTCAAGCCGCAGCAGGTAATTTCACTGAAGCTGGCCTTGCACTCCAATTCCATGCCGATCTCTATGAGTGGGATCCGAGACGGTCCCTTCCCGAGCTTCTCAACCCTCCTTTCCCAGAACAGACGTCGTTCGAGAGGAAAGAGTCCTTGTACTTCTCAATCATTCAATTCTTTGAAGATGCTAAATCTTGGGCACATGCGCTCGTCTGCTACAAGGAACTAGCTCAGCAATATGAAGATACCATCATGGACTTCGCCAAGCTCTCGCGGGCACAAAGCTCAATGGCCAAGATATACGAGATCATTGCAAAAGAGGAAAAACAATTCCCACGTTACTTCCGTGTGCTGTACAAGGGACTCGGCTTCCCAGCAACCCTCCGGGATAAAGAATTCATCTTTGAATGCTCTCCAACCGATCGCATGGCCTCCTTCGTCGACCGTATGCAGAGGGAACATCCAGCTGCGCAAATTGTATCTCCAGGGGAAGTTCATGATTATGAGGGTCAGTTTTTACATATCAGCCCGGTAACTGTTCACCGTGATATGACACATCCGGTCTATCAACGATCTAAAGTCCCGTCATCTGTAAGGGATCATCTCTTGATTTCTGAGCCTTGCCGCTTTAGTTCGACATTAAAACGACATATCCGAGATGCGGATGTCCAGGAGCAATGGGTGGAGAAGGCAGTCTACACAACTGCGGAGCCATTTCCGAATATTCTTCGGAGAAGCGAAGTGGTTGCAGTGGAAGAGCTAGCCCTTACCCCCATGCAAACCGCCCTTGAACGAACTTGGCGCAAGACTCAGGAACTAACATTGCTGCAAAGGCGCGCTGCTTCTGGTGAGGACATGAGCTTGTCGAACCTAACGGAGGCGTTAGAGCAGTTATTAGAGCTCAACTCGTCTTCCGCCGGCTGCGTAGCCCTCTATCGACAATTCTTGTCTCATCCGCAAAGCGATACTGAGCATGATACGCCAACACCAGTTGATCCTTTGAACCAGGCTCTAGCTGTCGCTCTGATTGATCACGCCTTGGCAATAAAACAAGCCCTGGCCCTCTTCTATCGTCCAGCGCACCAAGCCACCCAGGCTGAATTGATGCGCCGCTTCGAAGAGGCTTTTTCCCCGGAGCTTGCTTCTCTTAGTCCTGTCCTACAAGAGACACCCCATTCAGCACCGCGTCTGTCTCCTCGCTCTATACAAGATCGTAAACAGCAGGCAGCTCTGCGCTCCAACACTCCGGAGCAGGAACTGATCCGTTCTTCGCGGCAAAGCCACACTCGCAAACATTCCCAGAGGCCATCAGTCATCAGTATCATGAACCCCTTCAAACGTGTAAATCACGCGGCAAGCGGCTCGGTGACCAATGGCAATGGAGAATCAAAGTCGCAACTGGATGGGAAGGATAACGGTCTACTTGAGAACGGCCGAGTCGAGGATACAGACCGTGAAGATGCAGCAACAATAAACAGCCGGGCCACTAGTCAATCACGGGATACTCAGAGTAGGCGCAGAAGCTTCTTTGGAGAGAAATTGCACAGACATACTTCGTCATTGTCAATCACGAAACCTGTGCCTGAAGATACCCAAGCGCAGACGAGCCAACGTTCGAGAAGCGCTTCCCGGGATGCAGGTGCAAAACCACAGAAGTCGCAGGAGACCCTTAGTCGGGCAAGTTCACAAAACAAAGGGGCCAGAGGGAACGACCGGCCGTCAGCCGTCAGCCCCAAATCTGGATGGTCCACGATTCCTTCCATTAGTGACTATCCTCGCCCAGTGACACAGAGCAGTCGGACCTCAATGAGAAGCCCTGATCTGGGTAGCCCGAAAATTCCCCAGCAAACCCAATTTCATACAGGTGGTGTTCGGGACTCTGTTATGAAAAGATTCAGCCTGCTCAAGGGTGTCGGGCGAAAGGGCAGTCGCCTCGATTTCAGATCGGATGCACATGGCATGACAGTCCGCGAAGAGTAGAATCGCTCGTCTCTGCTTATTTTCTTTCGTTTCCCTTTCTTGCCCTTTTTTATTCCTTTAATGTCTGGACATTAATGCTCGTTCTTCTCCTCTTTTTATGTTCTTGCTTTTGATCGAAGCATTTTTTTTTCTTTTTCTTTGCATCGCAGCGTACCTATACCTTGCTATGCCTCCTTCAGGATTTTCGTCATATCATACTTTTATATTCTCTTTGCCTCTCCCTTTCTCGAGCCCGGTACGTACCACGTGTTGGTGACGATGACGGTGATTTCTTTGCTTATTTCTTCTCTCATCTGCTTTTTTGATCCATTTTCCCCCTTCGTTTCTCCACTTCATTTCTCACTTTCAGGACATGATTCATAAGAGATTCCTCCCAGATACCTATCCCTACTCTCATCTCCTTTTTTTTGTCTGTTGCTGATCGCAACCTCTCTTTTGTTCGTTCAGATAATGCTGGGCTACTTTGTAAATTTCACTACTACCTTTCATATGGTCACTCCCTTTTTCAACCATCTCTTTTACCCCTTGTTATGTGTGGACTCCTTTATACCCATAGGTGCAGGATGGCTGGTGGAGGTCCCGGGAGTTGGATATTTACCAAGACAAAAAGATTGATCCATGGGAATTATATATAATCAAAAACACGCCACTTTTGTTCAACCAGCTTAACTCACCTACCAAGCTATGTAAAATACTTTAGTGCAGAAGTCGACATGCCTTGAATTTAGTCTTGATTCATGGCAAATTAAGTCCATTCCCTTGAGATGCAAAACAAGGATAGCATGCACGCCAAAGAGGATCTATATATGCAATTTCAAACAACCACCCCACGAGAAAACGATTATAAAAGATAATCCCATAATACTTTCTACTTGGAAGGAAGCTCCAGGTCTACCAGCCACGGAGCGTTCATAGCTTGATACTGAACAGTCACCACGCTCGCATTGACGAACAGTGTCTCATCGCCCACCCTCAGCGGACTCTTCGACTCTCCACTGACATCCGCATACGCACACCGATCCTCAAGCGTCGTCTCCTTATCGCACTGAATGATCGACTGATTCCGCGTACTCCACTCCAGCCGCGCCGCCCCATACCCTTCATGTATATGCCCGAAAACATGCAACCGAGGCTTCGCCCTCTCCACAGCCCGAAACAAATGCTCACAGCCCACACTAGCATGCGATCCCACCACCTTATCCAAGATCCCATACGGCGGTCCATGCGTCAACATAATATCCACCCCATCATCCGGCACCGGGTTCGCCGGCACAAACACCCCCTCCGATATCGACCGCGGCGGATTAAACCGGTCCGTATCCCGATCATACGCAAACGCCCACTGACAAAACTCCGGCGTATACGGCGACGCATATACTGTGAATCTCGCCCCATTCTTTAACGTAAACGTCTGCACCCCTTCTTCCATATACCGGATTCCGGCATTCACGGCCTCCTCGCTCGTCCATAGCGCCTTGACCTCCCGCACGGATTCCACCCGCCCTTCTTCGGAGGACGCCCCTACGTTCTCCTTCCCTGCTGTTGCGGATGCCGCGGTGTGATCTGTTCTGTAGCGGTGCCGGTAGTGTCCGATCCGTGTGTAGTATTCTTCGTCTAACGTGATGTCGTGGTTCCCGGCTACGACTAGCTTCAGCTCCGCGGGTGCCTCCTTGAGCATGGCCAGGATCACTTCGTGTTCGGCTTTGAGCCCTACTTTGGTTATGTCACCGGCGTGTAGGAGGATGTGGGAGCTGGGGAGGGGATGTCGGTAGGGGTTTGTGGTGTTTTGGGCTGGGTTGGGGGTTAGGGTGTGGGTGTCGGAAATTATACAGATGCGGGTTTTGATGGTCATTTTTGCTGTTCTTAGGGGGGATTGTTATTCTAAGTGTTGGGAGAGGGAGGTGTAGATTGTCTTTTTTGGTTGTAGGGAAATAGGTAGGGAGGTAGTGTAGGTGGTTGTGTTGTGTTGTGTTGGGGTAGAGTGGGTGTTGTGATGGTGTTGGAGATGCTTTTTAAGGTCAAGATGATAAAATGCGGGAGGGAGGGGGCCAACATGGCGTCATAGATAACCGACTGGAGTCTCTGAAGACATGCCTGATCGGGGGGTAAAAAGGCTGTAATTGCTGACAAGAACTTTACGGTATCGATTGTGGGGAAAGTAATTTTTTTTGGAAAAAAAAAACTCTAGAAGAGGGAAAAAAAAAAGGAAACGATTATTCAAATTCGACAGAACATAACGAGGATCATTCCATTGCTGACAGCTCAGAGCTCTACACACAATGCACCCGTAGTGCCCCAGAGATCATAAATGTATTCTGGAAAAAATTGCTGAAACTCCGATACCACCCTTTTACAACACGATTTTCCTTTTTTACTTCCTGATAGCCTTCTGGTAGAAAGCGAGCTCCTCACCCTCCAGGATGTAACCGTCAACACGACCGCTCTGGCCAGGGCGGGAAGCAATGACGGCGTAGAGACGACCGGCCTCGAACTGTCTCTCGACGGCAGACTCGACCTTACCGCTCTCGGCGAAGCGCTCAGCCTGCTTCTTCACAACGCTGTTGCTCTTCTTCTCCTCGGTGGTCTCGGTCTTCTGCTGGCGTCTACGGCCGAGGGGCTGGCCGTAGTGGGCCTCGTACCATTGACGGAAAGGAGCAGCATCAATCTGGACGACGGCCGACTTGGTCAGGGTGTTGGTACGGACCAACTCGTTGTTGGAAGGGTGGTAGGCGACAACGATGACACGGGTCTTGCGGGAGATACCCTCGGAACCCCAGGAGAAGTTACCGGAGTCGAGACGGAGGGCACGGAACTTGCGGTTACCACCACGGGTGCGGACCAGGTGGATTCTCTTGTTGCCGATACGGGTGTTGGCGGGCTGGCGACCCTTCTCGAACGCCCTATTGGAGATGTGTAAGAATTTGGGCCTCTTTCTCTGGGTTCCTCAGATCTCAAGTTCATTCATACCTCTTCTTGCGGTAGGTGGCCCTCTTAGCACCGGTAGCCGAGCGCTTGTGGCGGGAGTCGCGAGAAATACCCATGTTTGCTGTTTCGAGGGGACTGTGGACAACAGAGATAATTAGTTATCAAGAATCCGTAGACGCAGTAGTTCCGTTTGCTTTTGATTTTCCCCTTCAAGTTTCCCGTTGGAGCGTGAGATAGTGAGCGGTCCAGAATCGAATGCACTGGCAAGCGGTCGCAAAGCCCAAGCAGATAGTTTATGTATATCGGAGACAAGACGATGTGTGAAAAAATTTTTCCGTTTTTTCCTTTTTTCGTCGTTGATATTCCCCTTCGGTTTCTCCTTTCTCTCCTTTGATCGTGTCCCTTAAACTAATCCGATCGACTTCAATCGCTAAGCGGCACACGGGCACGATAACCAACGCTCGACACTCGACGCAACGGTGAAACCAGAAAGAGGAGATCGAAAACACTTGGAATGACGATAGTAAACTCACCTCTAATCCTGCAGCCCTTCACCAGGAACGCAGCGGGCAAGGGTCGTTGGGTGGTCGTGGAGTTGAGTGCTGTCGTCGGACTATCGTGAATTTCGCACTGTGCCTTCGCTTGAGAAAGTTGCCCTAGTCCAAAGTGCGCGCTAGTACTGAAACGGCATAGCACCCATTCCCGTGACCTTTCGGCTAGACCGCTTTTGAACAAATCTTATTTTCCTTTTCTATAGAATTTCCCTTTGAAATTGTTCAAATGGTTTGAAGATCATTAACTAGTCTACTCCGGTGAATGTCTTATAATAATCATGTAATCAATAAGCATCTGTGCTTTTTGACAATACCTGAAGAACAGTTGGTACATATACATCTATCAGTCATTTCAGGCCATAAACCCTTTGTCCACACAAGAGAAAAAAAAATGAGCTATCAAAGACTCTGTTAGGCCTTCCCCCTATGTGGACCGGTTTGCCACATGTACTCCGTAGTGCATCTTCTGACTACTTGCGATGCTCCCTCTTCACTTGCTCTTCCTTCACCATCCGATCAAATCTCCGGAATGCAACAACTCCCTCAATCATAATGGTAGCGACCCATGCAAACCATACACCAGACAAAAATGGCACACCGTGAGGTTTCAAGCGCTTCACCGCCAGCAGAACCACTTCGATAGCATGAATTCCCAGCAGAAGCGTACCTGGAATGGGCTGGACGGTGTGGCAAAACCGAGTGAATGCTGGGAACTTGTCAAGACCAGCTGTCTCGTAGAGCAATGACCCCGGCAGGAAATTGCTGCCTCGAGAGAACACAATTAACGTAGCTACGACCACGGCAAAGTTGATCGCCTCCCAGCCTCGGGGTGCTCTATATTCTTTGATGATGATATCCGAGCGCCCTAGCCGTTGGAGACACTCCTTGTGCATTGCCACCACGCGCTGTCGAGTATCGGAAAATGTTTTCATGGGTGGATCTAAGGGCACGCTGTAGCGGGTGCCCTTGGCGCTGATGAGCAGATCAGACAGACTGATGTCTTCCAACCGTGCGGCTTTGGCGTCTCCATCGGCGACATTACAATAGACGCGGAGGTACATCGCCAGGGATTTCTGGTGGTCCGCATTCATGTGGTTGATAATGAAGGTTTTGCTAGACGCAGATTTGTCGTCATTGAACGCGGCCATTGTTGCTGCTGGGTGGGTCTTTCAATTGAACTCGAGTACTTTCTAGGCCTTGAGACAGTATAAATAGAGGTTAGAATGTATGTACTTTCAGTTCGTCAGGTACTCCCGCTTCAGGAGTTAAAGTACTTGACTCCGTTTGGTAATGCCAAGCTTCTACCTCGGCTTCTGTAAAGAAAACTAACATCGGATGGTTGAGATGCTCATGTGCTTCCCTTTACTAACAATCTATTTAGTACTTACGTTTAAGCTGCAGGGTAGATAAGCTCGGTTCCAGGCACTTTAGATATTTTCGGTATGCAATGCGATTGATCTGCTAGACAGAAGGTAAACGCACGTGATGAGTATGTCCCGGTTTAGGAATCGCTCTGCCCATCATCTCTCCTTCGGCCCCCTTCGAGAGTAGAACTTGAATTCTTCATCAACCTTTTCTTTGCACAAAATCGAAAACAATAATGCTGCTCATCAAATACAGACATACGCATATGCTTGATTCTATATATACTACTACATATTTCCGTGGTGAATTCAAGTTACTATTGAAACCATCTGGTTATCCAGGGCTTTGAGACTTTATATATCAGAAGCAACTCGACATTAGTTGCTTCGTAGGTTGTCACATAACCGCCTGATAACTAACTCTTCATAACTCCTATATTATTTTTGAATCATCTCCGGTTTAAAACCTAGCAATTATCCGGATTCTTTCTCCTACACACAGTGAAATCGAAAAGAAGCATTGTACCATCCTGCAGAAAGGCTGGACGCCTTTCTATATCACACCTCAACCAGCGATACTGACCACACTAGAGCTTACGTGACTTACCGAGTTGTAAGGATATCAGTGAGTGATTTATGCCGCTTTAAGTCTAGATAGTGCTGTTGATCATCAAACTATCCGCTATATTTTGCACTGGATCACACATATTCTGCACGCCTGAGGTTCGCAATGCGAATAACTAACATCGGGAATCAAGTATGCATGTTTGCAAAAATAATTGAGACATCAAAACGACCAGGAGCCAACGTTTTCAAGCCGGAACGCAAATACCAATATCGAACACATGCCATTAATCATACCAACAGGTGGAGTATAGTAATTATGCTCTGGAAAAAAAAAAAAAAAAAAGTAAAAAACATTACCTGAGCGCAGGACTCTATTGAACTAACAAGAAACATGCGGAACAGATTGCTGCTGTTTGTCTGGAATATTTTCATAAACTTCATGCCAGACATGTTTCATCGATTCGAGGGATGAAGCGGTCAAGAGCTAATATAAGAGGCGAAATTAACATTTTCCCCAATCATGCACTGCGACCGTCAGGTTAGGTCCTATTCTATGTTGAGTCGGGTAAAATTGACCGATGGTGCTTGAGTCTATCCTGAGAACAAAAAGAAGGAGATACTTACAGCAACGACAGTGTCAAATCTCCGTGAATGTGGGCTTTGAGTTCCACCTCGATGTCGAGGTTCAGTTCCAGTTTCAATTTGAGGCCATCCTGCTCATCATCATTTTTCCCTTGTCCAGGAGCGTCCGTCATGGCTCCGTTTGTGATTGTGCCTTGTGTTAAGGATTGAGTGCCGCGCTTATATGGCTGCACGGCATTGCCCTGATTCGCATCGCCATAGTCATCGTCGTCGTATTCATCTGAATCGTATTCATCGGAAAGATAGTCACTTTCATCGTCATAGTCGTCATTTTGACGCTTGTGTTGTTGTTGCTGGCGGCGTCGTCGAGCTTGCTGTTGGTTCGGACGTTGGGGTTTCTGATCCTGCTCGTCTCCGGACAGTGAATAGTCATCCGTATCGTAATCGCCATCCGAGTATTCGTCCGGTTGAATGGCAGGTTGTTCTTCTTTCTTCTTCTCTGCAGTGGCCATGCTGAAAGTATCGATGAGGGTTCAGGAGATGATCAAATTGCAGGCGAGGAGAAGGACGCGATAACCGGCGATGCGCTTGAATCACAACACTGGATCAAAATGAGAAGAAAAGACTATAGTTGGAAATACTACCGGAAACTAAATACGTCTAGAAGTATAGGGGTGGGGGGAAACTGTTGGGCAACAGAGGAATTTTGGGGGATATTTGCCGGTGCGGCAGACGATGAAGTCCTTCTTCTGTACGACGGGACCAGCAAAGAACAGCCACCTACGAATTACCCCCCTTCGCCATGAGCATGACGTTGCCAGTGTACCTCCAACTGCAAGATCTCCGCTAGTGCAGCTAATCAGCGTGGCGCTGCTGTTCTTGTGTCAGAGTCCTGGAGGGTCAGACGACGGGAGAAACTCTTGAGGACGATAACGTAGCCGATGGAGAGTGATTGACAGCAATATGTCGTTGAGAGGCGGGTCCCCGCCGTTACTGTTCCAAGGATGTGCTGTTCCATAATTAACGCAGCCACCGACAGAATTACTACAGTGCGCATGGTGACACTGATGATTCTATTGTGAGAACCGGCTTTTGTTCGGGTGCGAACCGCGGATCAAACACTACTTTGTTACTTTCCCACGCGAAAAGAAACCGATGAAACCAGGGAATAGATCACCAACGGCTATACATCTCCGTTCTGCTTTGACAGTATGGTCTATCACGATTCTAACGTCAAATGCCACTTCTAGCCCGCCATAATCCCGTTAGATTGTATGACGATCTGACGTGCGTGGCGTCATACCCCCAATTAGTGGTCAAGACTCAAGTGGGCCAACAAATATGGAGACACGCGGTAATTCTCCGGCCCCGTTTCATTGGCGTATCTGGCAACACATCTGGCGCTAAACAAATTAAATACCACTGCAGTTGCCGACGATCTTCCACTATTGCCCAACTTCCAAGGTCAAACGAAGAAAAAAAAAAAAAAAAATAAGACTGAGACACCCTTCCCTGAGTCGACGTCATTCTGAACAGCCTTCAATATCCAATGCTTCAATCATGTCTAGTTCCCACCCTCCTCCCTCTTGTCGCACGGATGACGCCGTTGATCTTCGCTTCGGCTCTTGGTCCAATCCGATCAAGCAGAGATGGTCATAGCTGACGTCGACTGTGGGCGGCCGGTTATCAACCGTGCAGGACGCTCGCACCATATAAATGATATTGGACGATGTGACCATGGTTAAGCACTATATTACGAGCACTAGCACAGAATATAATCCCTCGCCTTCCTACTCAACATGCCAGACAAAGAGGATAACAACCCTCAAACCCCTCAGCAAGAGAACAACAACCCCCAGGAAGAGACTACCAACCCGGGGTCCCCTCAGCCTAAGGAGGAACAGGACGTTGAGCCAAAGCAAGAGTCTAACTCGGACGACGCTGAGCCTAAACAAGAACCCAAGTCGGACGACGAGTCTAAACAAGACCCCCAGCCCGACTCTAAGCCACAAGAAGACGAATCCAAGCCCGACGCCGAACCCAAGAAAGAGCCTCAGTCTGAAGCTGAGCCCGAACCTCAACCTCAGAAAGAAGAACCTCAGCGGCGTCCACGGAGACCCCGCCCACGAAAGTACCAACAGGACTCGGACACCGAGAACGTCGACCGCGGCAACATGGATAACACCGCTGTTGAGAAGCCTCGTCGGCAGCGCCGCTCACGTCGCCAGCAACAAGACGGCGGTCCCCTCGGCGGCCTCGGTGGCATAGACCAAGCCGGTGACCTCGTACAAAATACAGCCGGCAATGCCGTCAACGGCGTGACCAACACCGCCGGCAAAGCTGTGGGGGGCATCCTAGGCGGCAACAAAGGGGAAGGACAGGACGATAGCGGCGGCAAGGACGAACAGCTGCGGTTGCGGCTGGACCTGAACCTGGATATCGAAGTGCAACTAAAAGCTAAGATCCATGGTGATCTAACCCTGGGCTTACTGTCAGTTCAACCCTCCCCCTCTCTTACCATCTTCCCCGAAGATATCAAGCTAACCATTCATAACAGCAACTAAAAGTGAATGTGAATGCGTCTAGTAGAAAAAGCATTTATCTCACTTCGTTAGCTCTCGTTTGAAATCTTTCGATACCATGTTGCCTTCCCGCTTCCTTCGTCTGCGTACTACGTTGCCGCTTTCTGCTTGATAGTCGCAGATTAGATGGCCCTTTCTCCTTTCCTTTTGTTCCCCCTTGGGCTATATACTTATTAGCGTTGGTTATATGATGGCATGAACAATCTTCTTTTCTTCTGTCGGCGTGATGTGATGCTTGCATGTATAGTAATTCCAGACTTGACTATGATCATGGTTTAATCGTCGAGGGCATGGAATGGATTATTAATGAATTGCAATTGTATTTCCTTGAATCTCATCAAAGATGAAAAGAAACAAAAAGAAGTCTGAAGACGAGGAATTAATAACGAAACGATTTATAAACGTTCATTTAGTAGATGGATATACCCGAGATAAGCAAATGTTTTAAATAAAGTATATAACCTTTCTACTGTTCTATTTGTACTCCTTCTACCACCTTGTCAATGCCCTAACCATACCTTATATCGTGGAACAAGCATCACATAATGTCCTATATGTGGATATGTGGATATGTATTGTAACTCAATCGCCAGTGGGAAGAAAAGAAAAAGAGTGGGGCGTGCACTCGAGTTCATATCATAGCCCAGCTATGTACATGAGAGCATAGCCGAGCGTGACGATGACAGCCCATGCCATCAAACTAGCAGGGATACCCCTGGTAAAGAAGTGGTGGACTTTGAGATATCGTTGGCCTGTTTGAGGGACCTCGGTCATGATAGCGGCTAAGATGAGGTTAGCAAAAAACTTTTCGTTAAAACCTTAGAAGGAGAACATACTCATGTTAGGGAAACCACTGGTCGGCAAAGCCATAGCAACAGAGCACATTAGGGCGCTAGCCATCACCAACAGGTTGGGGTGTGGGTCTTCCATGCCGACGCCGATCTGCCGGACGAGCGGCAGAATGATAAGTGCCGCAACAGTGTGAGAGATGAATGTCGCCATAACGAGAATCAAGCCGGAGAACACAATTAGGACGCCATAGAGACTGAGATGTTCTACACGAGCGGTAATGCCATTCGCGATAGTGTGTAATAAACCGGAAGAAGTAACAGCCTTTCCAAGACAAAGGCCACCGGCGGCCAGGATGATAATGGTCCAAAGAAAGTTGTTGAAATCTTCCTTGTTGAGAATGCCAGTTCCGAAGAACAGGACCATCGGGATAATGGCTATTACGCCCATATCCCCGAAGACATGCTCAAGCTGATGACTACCGCACCACAAGGCAATGGTAGACAGAGTCACGATGCTGATGAACCATTGAACCCCAGAAAACTTATCCTTAACTGGCCGAATGGGCACAAGTGTGGTGCCACGACCGGGGTGGAATGTGAACACCAAAAGGGCCCATATCAGCAGGATGGAGATAATACAGACGGGGAGTGATACAAAGAACCATGTACCCCAGCTGATACTCGGGTGCATGTTCTGAAGCGCAATGATATTTTGTGGTGACGCGATTGGTGAAGCAGCGCCCCCGACGTTCGCAGCCAGGGCAATTCCCAAGACGAGAGCTTTAGCGAAGTTTGAATCTGGGGGAAGGTTCCGAAGCAAAGGCTGACAGCGTTGGATTTAGCAATAATGCAGTGGGAGGATAGGGGCCCAAATTACCTGGATGATCGAATAGCAGAGAACGGGCGAAGCCACGTTGCTAATCCACATACTCAAAAACATACTCACAAACATGTTCGTGAGAAGGACCACACGGGGACTGGATCCAGCTTTGCTCAAAACGAACATTGCCATCCGACGAGCAATGTCGTATTTGGACAAGGCTGCGGCGATAGTGAATCCACCAAGTAAGAGCATTATCACTGGAGTCCACATGGCACTGAATGCAGCACTAGTGGCTTCTTTAGGTCCCAGGCGCTTGTAAGGCTTCTCTTCCGATTTCATGATGCGAAGCAGGACAACAAGAAAAGGGATCAGGAGAGAAGTCACAAAAAGAGGGATAACCTGTGGTTGTGTACTCAGTCAGTAAAACAGTATGAGGTAGCAAAGCACATTATTTACCTCTGTGGCCCATAACAAGCTGACGAAGATAAGCATGGCCAAACAGTTTTGCTGCTCAGGCTTGTCCATTATCGGAACTGAGAGTAATGTCACAAAAACAGCCAAGACGAGAACCAAAGTACCAAAACTCAAGCTGCATAGCCACTGTGGAGGATGGAAGACGCCCAGAGGCGTCCTGAATTCTGCGAGAGCAATCTCCTGCTCGTCACCCTGTCGTCGTGCAGCTGCGGGGTCCTCGTCTCCCCCAAGGAGAGTTCTGCGTATACCGACGTTTGCAGCTTGTGCTTTCCTTTCAATACCAATCATTTCCCTCCAGACCGTGTTTCTCTCCCAGACTACATGTTCCCTCAGGTGTAGCCGAAGCTCACGCCTTGCGAGCGGCAAATCGCCAGTCGTCACGACATCCGCGTAGACCTTTTCGATCTTGCGGATATCCGCTTCCACCCTTGACGTGGTCGACTCAGTGAAGGGATAAGCCAAGGAGACGTTTGAGTTCATGTACTCCCGTCGTAAGCTGCGGTCAAGGATCTTATCGTACTTCTTCAAAGCCTTTGAAAACCCGGTTTTATTCAGCTGAATGTATGACTTTAGCCCACAAAGAGAGACGTATGCGTCCACTGCCCGTTTCTTCAGAGAAAGCCCAGAATTGTACAGATCTAGAACCTTTGGGTCACCGAAATGCTCAACCTGGGCCCTGTTAGATCTCCAGGCCCTCGAATCCCCCATATAGCCAGATTCGCCAATGTAGTCCGTACGGCCATCATCAGGATTAGCAGACCCGGCACCGTGAGATAGGCGTCGGCCGTTCTGTACCGACAGACGCTCGTCGTCACTATCGGCGTCGTCATCATCATCCACAACGGACTCGGTAACACTGCTACGGCGCCGATCTTGATTTAGTGGGAAATCATGATACCCATTTCCTGAACGCCGCCGAGAGCTGGAACTCGTCGTCCTTGTCTTGGTCATATGCTCGCTCATTGGGTCCACATTAATGCCATCGGCCTCCGAAGCATACTCCTCCGCATCTCTAATCACCTCTTCGACTTCCTTGAGAATCTCTAGCTCTTTGTCCTGGTAGAAAGTGCATATTTTCTCTAGCTCTGCGTCTAGAGCCTTCCGAAATATCGCATCGGTATTCGGAGTACTATCTAGCAAAGGAGCCGACTCGACATCAGCTTGAGCTTGCCCACTGGTTTTGCGGACTTGCTGTTCTAGAGAGTAGATCCTAGAATATAGACAACACAGTGAGCAATCTACACGGGTAATTTCTTTTAGATCAAAGAAGCGTAACATTTCCCGGGCGTAATGTGACATTTGCGCCCCCCCTTGCATGCAAAGTGATCCCCGCCGGCAAGTAGCTCTAGGTCTGGCCCCGAACATAAGGAAGAAGAAAAGGGAGGCAAACATGGCAATTGAGCCAGCATGAGGGGGAGGGGGAAAGGGAGATTATAAAGACCTACAATTTCTTGAGGTTGCTGTATGCAAGATAATACGAGCTCCATTCGGGAACCGCATTGAATTGGATACTGTGGGAGAACTTCATCTTGGACTGGGGTTCCGGAAACCGTGAGCGACGATGAAGTGCCTCTACCCAATACTTGAGGCGAATTGGCGTGTCCCACTGGACGTGCTGACGAGTTTGGCGGGAATTTGGATACGAATGCTCGAGCGTTCCCGTTTGAGAAGTACGATCAAGTAATGGGCGTCGACCGATCGGTCGAGAGTCAAATTCCTGAGATCCGATGTGTGACTGCCAGGTCCTGGTTGAGGTGTAGGGTGGGACAGGATACTCCACGAGCTCGATATCCTGGCCAGATAAGCGGGGGCGAGTGATCACGTCGATATCGTCGTGTGAGGCACTGGTCGCAGAAGCGATGCGTGCCACTTTCGGCCCACCAGCATGCGACGACACGGTGGACAGGGTAAAGAGGAACCGAGCAAGGGGAGGGGATGGGATTCGCTGTCCAATGTTGTGCGGGTGTTAGGCCGCTTGAAGTGTTCGGTGGCACACTAGTGAATAGTGAATCCCATCACACGTTGTACGTCGGAGAATATGTATAGCGATGTCGGGGGGGGGCCAAACAAAACATACATCGATACTTAATGTAGTATCATAGTGTCAAGAACGAACTATTGTTTGCTCCGCCTCTTGAGTTCGAGCGATTGAGATTGCGGGAAGAGACCCGACCATAAGAGGATTCTCGAGATGAAAGTCACGTTCCTGCAGCTGACAAGGGGATTGCTCAATCAGGGTTAGCCTCCTCGTCATCCGTTTTAGTCAGTCAGCGAATAATCAACCTGGAAAAGGTAAAGCGTTCCAGTTCCGATAACCAAATGATTTTGACCCATAGAATGCCAACATATTACGAGAAAGGATTCCCTTTTGCTGTGAGGGAACCAATATGTCGGACTTGACGTGTCATCCAAGTCATGACGCTCTCCAACTTGTCCTTCCCAAGTATTTGTCACTTGTAGTGTCATCACTTGACCACCTACAGTTTTGCTTATCTACTACGGACACAGCATCGTTACCTTACATGGACTTTTCCACAACCCGAGCCGAGACCGCTCGAAAATATATTCGTACATACATACATACATACATGTACCTCTACAAATTTGAAGCCACCATGGTGAATTGATAAACCACAAGAATCACTTTCACTATGATAAATAATAAATATGAAAAAACTACCTATACAGATGCATCAGGTGCTTGAAAAAGTCCCATAATAAAATACAGAAAGGAAACAGATCCCGCATCTTCCATCTAATTCCCAAAGCGAAGAAAGAGAGGGAAAAAGAAAAGTCTCATTGGATGCAATGCCGGAATAACTCGCAATTGTAATGCCCAACCCGTCATTGCGTCTGTTTGTACGCATGTAAGGCAGTCTACCGACGACCACCGGCGACCATGCCGAGATTCGACCGGCCTGCGATACCGAGCTTGTGCTGTTGCTCTCTCTTGTCCCACACACCACTGCGGCCTTCTGCAACCGCAACCAGCTCGTTGGCTACTCGCTGGGCAAACTTGCTGTCACGTCGTTTATCGGAGCCATCGATAATCCATTTAATCGCTGTCCTGCGGCGTTGTCTCAGCGCGAGCGGAACCGGAATCTGCACCGACGCACCACCACCGGCGATACCTTTCTGCTGGCGGATCTTGATCAGAGGAGCAACAGAGTCGACAATCAAGGTGAGATATAGGACGGGGTTGAGTGGAAGCTGCGGGGCGGGGGGTCCAGGAAGCAGAGGCCGCTTCGGGTTGGGCTGAGGCGGAGAAGCAGTCCGGAGGTGGTCCAGAATGAACGCCATATCCTGCACAACAATAGAGCTTAGTATCTTCACCATATATCTTGTACGTAACTGTAGAGCAATGATTCAATACCCCCCAAGGGTTTCACGTACCTTCTGGGCCCTACTCAGTTTGCCATCCGTCATTAAGAGTTTGGTAAATTGTTCGAGCAGCGAGTCATATCTTGTGCGGAAGTTCTCTGTCTTGGGAAGGGTCTCGACAGGGTCAAACTTGATCCCATCATGAAGTTCCTCAGCCTGCTGGTTGACCTGAGAGATCATGCTGGCCATCACTGCGGCAGTTTGCTCATCGAAGCTCTTTCCTTGGCCATGTAGTTCGGCCTGGCTCCGACGAGTGGATGTCGAGAACGACCGAGTACCAGTCGATGATTTGATCTGGTCCTGCATGACCTTGGGCATGTGTTTCCGGGCTTCTTTGTCCCGTTGGAGAATCTACATAGAAAAATTTAAGAGGATTGTCCGACTTCCCATCAACGGAAACAAGAGGGGTATAAAGAGATCACACCGAGGCGGCTTACCTCTGAGATAGGCGTTCCTTGCTCCAACTCCGGACTGGCGGGAGTGCCATCGCATTTCTTGTCCATGATCTTGCTTATCTCCGCGGCCTCCTCGCTAACGTGAGGTAATGGGTCCTCTGTGGGAGCCTTTGGTCGCTCCGAATTGTCTCCCCCGGACGCTGAGGAATTCCATCTCTTCTGCATTCGCATCGAGGACGACAAGCCAGTCTTCAAGCCATGGTGGGTGGATCGGCTGCCGTTGATAGTAGTAGCGATACTGGGTCGGGAAACGTTGACAGAGGTTTGGCGAAAGACCGGGACAGCAGTCCTCGCGTTGAAAAGGTTGAGACGGGGCGGCATGCCGAAACGCGCTCTTCTAATGCTGAGCTGGAGTCAAAAAAGGGTGGGCTATGGCTGAACCGACGATGGTCTCGCTCGCCCTCTGCTTTGGGAATTCGGCGAACGATTTTCCTCTCCACGAGCGCTTAGTCATCACTCGCCAAGAATCGACAGGCTCATGAACGATGATGAAGTCATACAGTTCCAAGTAACTATGTTTGTCATATCAAGAGAATAAACAAATCAAGAACATTTGACAGAGCCCCAGTCTATAGTTCTACAGAATTGTATAAACTCGTTATTTTATCCTATTCTTTCAATGCCAAAGCCTAAGTTCTCAATATTATACAGACTCAACTGAAGCATCAGAATTTGCTGTGTCCAACGATACCATGGCCTGGCCTGACTCGATATGACCAAGAGAGTTCAAGGCCAAAAAGAAAGCCACCCAGCACGACCAAATCGAATATGCCGCTTTCCGGCGAGACTCGCAGCCATATAGATCAAAGTGACTGACCCGCAGTACAAGTCCTCTGGATACCGTACGAAAAGATTAGATGATAACCTAGGAAGCATCCAAGGATAAATTACAACAAAAATGAAACAAAAAGGAGGGACAGGAGAGTCGCCTAGGTAATTTAATAGGGTAGCTAATGTAATCCGTCTTTGTTCTCGTCGTATCCTCACATCTCGTGAAACGGTAGAGATGAACAAGCGGGAGGAGGAAGGGTCGCATCGCAGTCCACGCTAATGCGCGTACTTATGTGTGAAACAGGGCGTCGTCGGTGGCCTGATCTGGGTATACATAGAATGCCAGAGCCAAAATCACATACCTAAGAAAAGCGTTAGTGAAATCAAGTAGAAGGGACAATCGCCACATACATTCCCAGACACAAGCCGCCTTCAAGGTAGTTTGACTTCCCATCCTGGATCAGGAATGTTACAACTAAGCCGGAGATAAAAAAGGCGACGGTTTCGAAGATGTGGAAGTGGAGAGTCATATCCACATCCAGGATCCAGCCCAGAATAACGAGGAAGGGCGTGACAAAAAGGGCGATCTGCAGGCTGCTGCCTATGGCAACTCCAATGGCAAGATCCATCTTTCCTTTCCAAGCGACCACAACCGCTGTCACATGTTCTGCAGCATTTCCTACGATGGGAATGAGGATCAGACCAATGAAGGTTCGGCTCATACCAGTCTTTTCCACGATAGGGTCAATGCTGCCAACAAGATAATCGGCACATACGGCGACGAGGATTGTCACCACAACCAGGACAACGCAGGCAGCCCAAGGGGAGAGGATATGCTCTTCCTCCTCTTCCGGCACATCATCGCCTGGACTTTCCGGGTCGGGAGTGGTTTCCTCAAAGAACGCCGCGTGTGATTTGAGTTGGAAATAAAGGTACATCACATATAGAATCAGCAAAATGATAGCAGTGCCATGTGATAGAATGAGAATATTCTTGTCTCTGTTAGCTCCATCACCGGCTGAAGAGAGAGATGCGTAAAGTGTCGCGGGGATGATCAAAGAAGCAGATGCAACGGTCATCAGTGACGACATGGTCGATGCCACCGTGGTGTTGAAAGATTGTTCAGAGTAACGAAGACCCCCAACAAAGAAGCAGCATCCTAGCACCAGGAGGATATTAGAGAGTATACTACCGAGCATACTAGCCTGAACGACACGGATCTGCTCATCCTTCAGGGCAATGATGCTAACCTACCGTCCCCCAAGCCGTTAGTCTGAGACCAGAGAAAGGCCCAGTTATAGAGGATGAGACTTACAATCAATTCCACAGCGTTGCCAAAGGTAGCATTCATTAATCCGCCTAGTGCCTGACCCATCGCAGCTGCTAGCTCCTCGGTCGCGAAGCTCAACAGAGATGCCAGCGGCACGATTGCTAGGAAGTTCAGTGTGAAAACAGCAGTACTATCCCAGCCAAGAGCGCCAGCAATAATGCCAAATGGCACAAACACCAGGAGGAGATTGACATAGTCTCGTACAAGGGTAGCCCATGTCAAGTGGACGACTCTTACCGGCCAGTACGCCCATGCCCTAGGTTTATGGTGTGGAACAAGGCCGGAATTGGCTCGAATAGTGTCACCGATCAAGGCATCTCTTTCGTTGGGCTCCCTAGAGCCATTCTGAGAGCCGCCAGTCATGCTTCTTCTGGAACCCCAAGTGTGACTTCGGAAACTTGTACGGAAATTTTTCGGCGCTGTACAAGAATTTCGTGAGCTTGAATTAGCCTGACCTCATCTTCACGTTTCTTCGATGGTGGGCGCAATCCAAGTTCAGGGACCAACAACCACGGAAAATGAAGTAACATTTGACACAGAGATAACTTAAAAAATTCCAGACTCTAGGTAAACAAAGGGATGAATGCAATGGAAACGATGACTGGGATGAAAACAAAGGAATCCACTCATTGAGGGGGTGAAGGGGGAAAAAGGAAACAAGAGATGGAGGGGGGAAATATACAGAAACACCGACTCAGATTTGGGACAGGAGGGCAAACACACTGTTGAATGGAATAATTGTATCTCCCAGAGATTACAATCGTAAAGTGAAGAGGTAGGAGGACGTGGGATTGACGAAAGTATTTGAAAATGAAGGAATCACAAGTGGGTAGTGTGAGAGAATAACATAGTAGTTAAAACAGAATTGATGGTAGAAGAAAAAGATGGAGGAATGAGTTTCCACCTACCCATTTGATTAGTGGTGTGGTGACAGTTCGGCACCACAACCCGCAATGATTAGAGAGATTGAGAGTCGCAAGATATCGACAATTTCTTGGGAACTTGGCACGGGATTAGGTGAAGAACCGTTCAAAATTTGGCGCACTTAATGGAGCAGCAACGTATCCGAGTGGAGGTGACGTTGTTGCTGTGTGGCTTGTCGGGTGACGATATCGCTGTCGAACCGTGTCAAGACTCTCGAGTAATTTATCCCTGAATTTTCTTCCAGGATTTAGACTTTGCTCTTCACCAAGCTCGACCAGAGAGCGTGAGAGGCCAAGAAAACTAATGAGCTAGGAAGGGTTGTACTGGGGACAGCAGCCACAACCATGGACCGGTAGACAAGGAGATAATAAAGGGCCGTGCGGAGTTTTGAATTCCAGAAAAGAGTTTTGCCCTCTCTCAATGGCTGTACCAGCGGTGGCTGGAAGTTGATCGGACAAAGCTAAGACGATGGGGTAATTTGGTGCCAGAACCGAATTGGCTCCAGCTTCTTGTCCCGAGACGTGCACAGCCTCAATCTGTGGTGATTGAAACGGTCAGGGATGGTTTGTGGGAAGCTAAAGGTGGCCACTGTCTTGGAATTGGTTAGCAGACGATTGGGTAGTAGTTCATTAGTCGGTTGCTAGACGAGGTCAAGGAACGCGAGATTCGGATACTTCGAGGGTTAAGATCTGGACTAGGGGGTCTGGGCAGCAATCCCAGGCTTTTTAATCTAGGGGATGGGATGGGGGGTGGATGGTGGTTCTCGAAAAATGATGACGTTGGTGCACGCTGGGACTATTCCTTACTATTCAACCTTATCATGGAGGATCTCACGCTTTGATGCCCAAAGGATGAAATGGTTGATGATCGGTTGTAAGTCTCCGATTAGGAATCCTTCATTTGTTGGTTGTGAGAGATGAGATGATTGTATGAGCTCGACAAGAAACTTTTTGGTCAAGATGAACAACGAACATAACATAACTCTGTCCATTCTCTTAGTACTAGTACTAGTACTAGTACGTATTTCCCATAAGTGGGGCTCCATGCAGGAAAAAGCTTCATTCCTTCTTTGGGCTTAGTGGCAGGAGCTCCCAGAAGGTCCAGTGATTAATCATTACCTTACGGAGTACCCGAGGGTCAATCAGTACTAGTACTCAGTACAGATAGTGCAAAGGAAATAATGTAGTATGTGGTATTGAATTATAACCGATTCTGTAAGTAATTTTCGATGTATCAACTGGGGAACCCCCACCTCATGCGACACACAATGACTGCGCTGAAACTTGTGCTGTTTCCCAGTGCCCACTCATGGAACCCATGGGTCCCCGATCCGTGAGATACCCGCCAAGACTGAGCACTGCCACAATTATGTCTCCACTCCACTTCTTCCCGTATTTTAGACTCCGAGTATCCGCAGAGAATTTGATATATGCGTCTGTACGGAGTATGCACCGTATGCATGTATGTAGTATGTACTTGTCTTTGTGCAATCGTAAAAGTACCACCTCCGTATCTAGGACGAGATTCACATACAGACAGAGCCCTGGTTGGGGTAAATTGTACAATCTTTGAATCCACGTCATCGCCACACGAAACGTGAGATTGAAAGTTCGGTGTGGCGCACTCTCCGCTCCAGGTATTCGTGGCTGGCTACAAATTACATACATGCATGCTTAGCTTAGCAGGACTTAGTACTAGTTAGTAGTATGTACTCAGTACTCTATCACACCGCAGAGTTACTAGCCTTAATTGGTCAGCGGCCTGCAAGAACTACTGTACCCGCACCAAATCCGTTGGTATTTTGCTCATACCCGGCGGGACAGCTCTCGCACGTCGCATCTGAAAACTTGGGCGATCAATTGGCGCGTTATGAACAAAAAGATCCTATAGGTAGTGAGTGGATCAGGGTTTGCTCAGCCGCCACCTGAAGCAAGACATCTCGGATTGAGTAAACCTGCCTACGATGCGGAGAAAGGGACCATTAGCTACGACCACAGAGATGTCTCACGAGCCTTGGAAAACGGCACTGAGATTGATATCTACAGCTACTCCTGTGCTGCGAGGACATTAAATATACACAAATGTTGTCGCTCAACTAGATTCGGCATCAACACGAAGACATAGACCTCACATTGCTGAACATGCTATACCGCCCCGGCCTGATAATTGCGAGGAATGAGGCTAGATGAACTCATTCATGGAACCCCATGGTTTGAACACTCTATGCGCCGCCGAGTCCTATACGCCGTTAGTGATGCTAATGAGCCCTGAAGAATGGGTAGTTAACTCACCTGCAGCAAGCGCAAGGTACCAAGTCCGTGTCGCTCCTCCATCGATCGCGCTATAGTCAAAGTTCGGTTGTGCGAAGAAGTTCCAGGCTGAAACCGGATCGATAAGGGCAAGGTTGGCATACAAGACCCCTTTCCATCCACCTTGCACATTTTCGGCCGGAGACGCAGCATTGGTTGCAAAAATGGCATCCCACTCTTCCTTGACGAACTTTTGGCTACGCGAGTATGACGAGACAGGTAAGAGCGGCAGCATGTGAATCCTATCCAACGCATTAGCCTCTTGGTTCTAGGTGATTGAAAGAACCCACACGCGGAGATAGATGGACAAGACATTCATACCCGTGAACATATTCTAGGTTGGCTCCAAAGTAGGTAGTGTGGTCCACCTTGTTTTCGAACAACTAGGCCGGCGTTAGTATAT